TTTCTTTTACGGTAAAACTTTTTGACCTTGGCCGGTTTCTCTCCCTTAGGAGGAGAAAACATTTATGGACTATCATGGTTGCCATCACCAACTTCCATGGAAGTTTGGGAAATAGATCCTCCAAACAAATTTGCTTGACCAGTGCGCCAAAGCATTGCTGCTTCAGCAACAATTAGCAAATATGGTCGATCTATGAGGGTCACGTCGTGATTCGTCGTATAATAGTCCTTAACGAATTTACTATATGACTCGGGAAGCGATTGAAGAACCAAGTCAACAACTAGCTCCCTTGGGAAAACGACAGCCAACATTCCCAATATGTCAATGTGCGACTTCATCTTGAGGACATGTACACACACAGACTTTCTATCTTGGTGTTTGCATGACAATAGGGCTTAAGTAACCTTGAACTTTTCAAGTTGACGAAAATGTGAGTCAGGTAGAATCACTGGAGGAGGTGGAGGAAGAGAAATATGATTTCCAGTTCCACAAATGCATAAAGAAGGGAATGATATTTCACATTGATCGACACGTGGAAGATCATCTTCAGACGAAAAGCTTTTTCCAAAAAGGATAAGGAAGACCATAGTTGTCAAAACTAGACATCTACAAAAGGAAGAAAATTCAAGTGAGTTGATTTAGATCCTTAATATAACACCCAAATGAAATATCAAGGCTAGGACCCAGCACAATAATTCACAATTCGGAAGAGGGATTTCGTAATCCAATTGTAAATTATTTGAAAGTAGGTAAATGAGGATTTACCAATTTCACCACGAAAAAACAAAATTTTAACGAAATTGGTTTTAAATGAAATTCCTAGATCTTTTTGAGATTCATTGAACTTTTCAATGGCATGTTTAATATCGATTATGCCCTTCAAGTTTGTGACTGCGATATCGATGATCACAAACAAGGTGTGAATAATCATGCAAATTAGCTTAGTACCCTCGATGTCATTTATCACCTAATCAATGTGTTGGTTAACCACACACACCCCATTGATCAAAGATAATTTACGAACTACCCATTGTCATCCTTCATTAGTCCCATATTAGTGTGTTGGTTAACCACACACGCTCAACTAACGATCAATAAGATTCAATGTGCAATTTAATGGGTTAGAATCAAATTCATATTTTCCTAAAGTAACTAAGATTGGGAAATTATAAAAGGTTTAGTTACTTTGTATATTCATTATACTTACTAATGAGATTTAATGACCTATCAAACCCGTTCGGCTAACGACCATCCACTAGTGGGTAAGAGTGGATACCCAATGGCGGTCATTTTACAGGCCGCTTCTTTAAACACCACCTATAGACTAACTTCGTGAATGAGGCATACTAACGGTAAGAGTGGCTTTTCTTATATATATATATATATATATATATATATATATATATATATATATATATATATATATATATATATATATATAATTAAACTTTTAGTTTTATATACTATAAGGGCATATTTTAAACTTTTAAAGTACTAAGGTTTAATCATTTAATAAATTAAACTTCTAATTTAATTAAATCTAAACCATTTTATGGATTTGTTAATTGTCTTTTAATTAATCTTTTAATTAAATTATTAATAAGGTCCATAAAGACATCTTCTATGTTTTTTTATTTAAATTTCCAAAAATAAAACTTCAAATTTAAACTATAAAATCAAAATGGTGTATTTTTAAAACTTTTTCAAAATAGTAGGTTAAATCTAAAATCTAAATAATCTTATTATTATCCAAATTTAACCAATTTTTTAAATTTTGATAAGGATATCATGTTATCTGTTAAAAAATTCGATTTTATGCTTTAAAAATGAATTATGGCAATTATCCTAATCAAGATTAAATCTGAAAATTGAAATTTTAGGAAACCGACGAGCCAACTCGTCAAGTTTGGCAAGGAACTTGCCAAGTTCACGCTTTAGACGGCAAAAAATCGGTTTTCTTGTTCTTTGGACAGTTCACTCTTGCATCAATTTAATTGAAAAACAACATGTCTCTGATACCACTGATGGGTTATGAGCATATCTACATTCATATGTGATCATGCAACCCTAATTGCTTTGGATCTAAGTTTTTCACTAATTGAACATGCAAATTGAACACCAAAGCAATAACCCTAAATCTAGCATATAATTTTCGAAATTCAAAAAGAAATTAGGGTTAGAATATTACCTTACTTGTTATGTAGCAATAACAAGAACAATCATTGAATATCCTTAACCTTTGAAAGCTTAGTACCACAAGTGTTGCACCTCTAATGGAGTCACAAACACCCAATGCAAGAGGATAAGTTTGAGAGACAATGAAATCGACTACACTAGGGTTTCATAAGCATAGGGCTGAAAAGTCCATGTGGTGGGGTTCTTTATATAATTATGGGTTGTTAGGGTTTTTGGTGCAAACCTTAATTTCCTACTTAAGGCTTAAGCAGCCCATGGAATCCTCCTTATGAAGCCTTGGACGAAATCTATAGGGCATCCCTATAGAATTTCGTCCACTCCTAATTAAGGAGTCCAATAGCCCAGTTCTGCAATTATCAATGATTTGCAAAATAGTCCCTTCATTATTAATCAGTTCCTTTAATCTCAAAATTAATGTCAAATTAATTTCTGATTAAATACTTATTAATAATATGATTTCCAAATAATATATTAATCTTGTAATATATTAATAAAATCATTTTGAGTACCAATTTATTATTTCAAATAATAAATTTTACTCTTTCTCCACCAGTCATCCTGTCAAGTTGCATGAGTGAAGGCAACCCAAAATGATCATGTTACAATCAATCATGTACATACGAACAATAGTTATGAGCTTAGATACCAAATCCAACAGTTTTAAGTCTATATAGAGATAAATGTGCGACGTAAATAGTACATGGGGGGTTGTCGTGAGGTTTAGACTTAGGATTGTTTGGCATAAATAAGCTAGCTTATTATAATTTAGTATTCAGTAAGACTATTAAGATTTTGTCGCATCCTTTTACTAATTGATCTGTAAGAGTTTAAATCGTTGTTTTTATGTCAATCGATGATATTCTTGGTTTAATAATCAATTTTGATCGGTAAAAGATGATTGGAAATTTTAATTGTGATGTTTTTAATGTGAAATTGATTGATTGTGATATATGTTTGTGCTCTTTCAGATGGAGAAGATGATAGTGTCGGAGTAAGGAAAGGAAGAAGACAGTGACGGGGGTAACAAAAGTATGTAATAAGTGGTGGAACCCAACTGATTATGAAATAATTTTTTAATAAATAAGTAATCAATAAATATTAAACTAATTAAAAAATGTATAGGGGCAAAATAGTCTTTTTACATCTGTTAGCGACCAAGCGTGTAAGAAAAACATGTTAAAAAAATATTCAGGGACCAAGCGTGCAGATTGCCCCAAATCACAGGGACCATTCGTGTATAATGTTATATGCTTGCTTCCAAGATAAACATCCAAACACCCCTCGACAATTTTACCTGTGTGGTTCTATCCCATAGATTTTTCAAAGGGATAATGACTTAAAAGGGTAAAATATATTTTTTGATTTGTACATATTTAATCACTAATTTTTATTTCGTCAATATTTACCCCTTCAACTTGTTAAACTGTACACATTTAGTCCTTATGACCGGCTACTCCGTGTTAGCCGGTAAAAATGACTTAATAAGGTAATATATTTCTCACTTTGTTCACCTTTAATCCTTAATATTTTTGTACATATTTAGTCCTTAATATATATATATATATATATATATATATATATATATATATATATATATATATATATATATATATATATATATTTGCAAAATAAATCATTTTTGTTTTTGTACTCATTCAGTAATTATGAATGATTTCCTTAAGTTTTTCTCACGACATCTTACGTAGGATAGTCATATGGTGGTGGGATAGGTTGAGGTGGTCCTGCTATATGTTGTAGGCAAAGATACCTGGTGCGGGTTGGCTGTAAGTCGTAGGCACGGAGGCTTGAGAAGAGCAGTTGGGTTATGGCGTCATGCCGATAAACCCTGGGTATTCTAGTCCGATGACCGATTGGACTTGTTGCATGTTAGCATTCCAGTCCGATGACTGAATGGGCCAAGGTATTCTAATTGGATGAGTGTAGCCCGTTATGCATGATAATACGTTTATTGTATCAGGTATTTTGGGGAAACTCATTAAACTTGGTGCTTACCCAGTTGTTTATGTTTTCAGGTTCTATCATTGATCGTAGGGAGGGAAAAGCATGATTGTACCCACTCATTCAATAGTATAGAGGATTCCGCGTTTCTTGTATTCCTTTGATTTTCGATAAATGTATTTTGAAATAAAAGTTTTTTCTTAATAGTGGATTTTATAATTAATGACTTTTGTCTTATTTAAAAATAAAAAAATTTGGTTGTGAAAATGAAATGTTACACATAAACATCAACAGCTCCACACACTTCATTAATAATTGTCCCACATAAGATGTCGTGAAAAAAACCTAAGAAAATCATTCATAAGTACTGAATGAGTAAAAAACAAAAATAACTTATTTTGAAACCAAAAAATACTAAGAACTAAATGTGTACAAAAGTATTAAAAAGTAAATGTACACAAAATGAGAAATATATTACCCTACTAAATCATTTTTTCCCGGCTAATCTGGAATAACCTTACTCAATGTTTATAGTTTAATAAATGTTTATAGTTTAATAAGTTGAAGGATAAACGTGAATGGAAAAAAAAAATACATCTATATTTAAGTCATTATCCCTTTTTCAAAACAATCAACAAAATACATCAATATTTACAAATCATCAACAAAAGCAATGAATTTGGTCATCTTCACTATCTGTATTATATATTTCTTTTATGAAATTCAAGATGATAATGCCAAAAAAAAAATATAACTTAATCGAGCTCTTACAGAACTTAAAAGGCTTAATAGTTGATAAATCATGACCATGTTCGGACCAAAATTTAGTACAAACAAACATGCATCCCCATCATTAACATTAAACATACATCATACATATCCATCCATACTCATGGCAATCATATATATATATATATATATATATAAGTAGGACAACATTTTGGGTAAAAGGGTAATAATCAAAAAAACAAAACAAAAAAAAAAACAAAAAAGAAAAAGAAAAAAAGGAAGAAACCCTCCTAAAAAGTAAAAACAACACAAACAGCTCTCATTCAAACCCTCTCAACAACAAACAAGTCTCACTGATAATACATGAGTTGCTGTGCAGCAGCAACACTCTGAAAACCACCATCATAAATGGCCTGACTAGCCCCGGCTGCACCCACACTCATCCCCCCTTGTTTAAAATGATGCTGACCAGGATGATGCATCAGCCCTCCCATTCCCATCTTACTTATCGCCAGTTGTCGCTCATACGCCAACAGGTCAGCCGCTGAAAGCATCGGTGCCGCGACAGGTGGCGGAAGCGGATTCGAACTCGTTCCAGGTGGCGTCGGCTTGCTTCCCCAAGAACACTAACGTAATTCCCATTTAACATTTTAATTATCAAAGATTTTTATTTAAAAAATGAAAAAGATAGATATAACTCAACCTTAATTTGTTTGCCATAAAGAATGGATTGGGTGTTTCCCATTTGAATTGCTAAAGCTGCTTCACCATGTGTATTGTATCTCACAAAACCAAATCCTTTATCCGGTTGAATCCTAACTTCCTCAATCATACCAGCACCGAGGGAATGGAAATGCCGATGCAGCTCAAGCTGAGTAACCTAAAATTTATTTTAATTTTTTTTTTTTTAAATTATATATAATTCTATTTTTTATTTTGATTTTTGGTTATGATTTCTTACTTCTGGAGCAAGGTTGCCAACATAAACAGTTGTATACTGTGGGTTATTTTCAGGGGCGTCGCTATTAACAGGCTCCTTGCCATCCTCTGAAAATAAAAATAAAAATATTAGAGAAAAAAAAAAAGTCAAAAAATTTATAATTTTTTTTTAATATACCTGAAGACCCATTTGTTAGCTCCACTACACTTTTGGAATCTGATCCCTGTTTTTCTTCACTAGTACCTGCACCTTTGGTGGCCCAATTGCAGCGTATTTGTCTACTTCCGAGCCATTTCCCTGATAAGATAAATATTCTGAATTTATAATTTTATATTATTCAACATTTGAAAAAAAAAATAAGTAAACTTTTTAACAAAAGTCTTACCGGTTAAGTCATTGATAGCACTTTGAGCATCCTGAACAGGAAGAATTAATAATTTTGGTTCAGAAATCGTAAAACACTAAAATCCAATATTCGGAAAAGTTTTAATTTATTAAATATATAAACCTGTTGGTTCCGAAAGGAAACAAACCCAAAACCTCGTGAACGACCCGTTTTTTGATCCCACATAACCCTCGCATCCCTGTTTAATATAATAATAAAATAATATTATTATTAATATGATTGTATGTTAAAGGAGATGTATATATGTATGTACTCACGAACAGCTAGCATAAACAGAGAAGCATGCAAACAACATAGCATCAGTGACTTCAGGGCTCAGATCACCAACAAATATGTTGTAGTGACCTACAAACCAAATGTAGAATTTAGAAATGCCATGAGATACAATACAACTATTATTACTATTATTATAATAGTAGTAATAATAATAATATAAATACCAGAAGTGTCCTCCCTCTGTCCACTGGCATATGCCCAGTTAACTTTAATAGGTTGTCCGAATCTAACAATAAGATGAATAAGTGGTTAGGTAAGATAGGAGAAGTAGAAGAGCATATATATGACATAAAATCCTCATCAGAATTCAGAAACACTTACAAATGTCTTCCATTTAGAGATACAATAGCAAGTGCAGCTGATCTACGATCAAAGTAGTGAATGAATCCATAAGAAGACTGCAAAAAATATATATATATATATATATAAATTTTATGTAAACTTGAGTAAAACTTTTCATTTTGAAACAGAAATGGGTACCTTCTCTTTTCTTATGAGTTTGCAGCCTTCAACAGGACCAGTGCTTGCAAAAACCTCTTGAAGAAGTGGTTCGGTTACTTGCATATGAATATTCCCCACATACCTGAAATATCTCAAAAATAAAGAAACTAAAAGTGTTATAAAAGCAAAACAAACAAGAATAACCCTAGGTATAGATATCCACTCAATACATGTAAACAAATAAACATCCTATTCCTATATACTATAATTAACGCTTTTTACACTACAGCTACAAACTTTAGAATCTGGATGTATTAACAAAATGTTATAGATATACGAATTTAAATACACGCAGTTGGCTTGAGGGAGTAGTAGATCAAGGTTTTTGGCATGCGAATGAAAAAGGAAAAAAAAAAAAAAAATAGGAACTAGAAAAATCATCTGTAAACCACTCACACACTGCGGCATGTATTTGGATCAAACCCAGGAGGCAGATTTCCACTTGGGATTGGCTCAATCTGCAAAATAAAAAAGTGAAAAAAGGAAAAAAGACTAAAAAAAATAGCAAGCTAAGAGTAAAAAAGAAAAAGATAAAGAACCCCACTAACTATAGAGTAAATAAGGTCCAAAGAAGAATGGGTAAGAACTAAGAAGGCAAAGTGTATCCACTACTAAACTACACACCAGCCACCAAAGGAAAACCAACATGAAACAAACATTTGTCCAAACAAATTCCCTATATAAGCTAAAAAGGTAGTAGGAGAAAACTCATCAAAGAAAATGAGGCTGACTTCCTAAATTTCACAGAAGTTCCTTACAAACATTCCACTGTTCTTATGCATCTAAACCTGGGTTTTAATATTTTATGCAGTTATGCATCCATCTCTGGTAACAATTTAGTAAACTATCCGCTAAAACAAAAGGGTATGTTGCCAAGACATTTAATGTTTTGAAACCATATGTGAAGGGGTGATGGAAGTATGGATTTCCATGAAGAAATGATTATAGCAATGCAATAGATAACTCCCACAAGAGTAATACTTCAACAGTAGAAACCTATTCAGACACTTAAGATTCAAGAATAAACTTTAAATACTCAAAATAAGAACTTTAGAGAAAAGAAATGCATGATAGAATTTTATGTGCCTAGCACCCACTATGAAGCAAAGAGAGTCTCATGAATAAAAAGCATTCACTCATCTCCCACGAGAATCAAGAAAGGCATGTTTAATTACCTGAAAACATTGCGTGACTTAGAAGCCATTAATCACAAAGGAAAGAGTTTTATAGGAAGAAAGGAAAAGAAAGAACATTACTCACTCAGAATTCAACATGTAATAGCTCAGTTCAAAGCAAAGAGCTACTATCTGACTTTTGAAAATTCATATAAAAACTTCGAAAGTTAAAAAATTTCAAGGATCCTAAACTTTTGACATGCACATAAAAGAATTTAAAAGTGTAATAGAAAGTTAATGATGTTTGTTTTAAATAAGTAACAAAATCCAACATCATTCTTGTATCTCAGAAGTAATTGGATTAGACATCAATAAAAACATTAAAGGAGTTCTGGTTTTAGGAAGGGGAGAGTAAACCGAGCTTCGGAAAGCAAAAAATCCAAATCCGTTTGGTTTCACATAGTTAGGGGAACATGGCAACAAAATCGTCAAAATTCAAAAAGGACACGATCCAAGTCGTTACATTTCACAAATATACAAGCAAAAAAATTAATCTCGTGGAAATTATCGCAACTAACAAAAAGTTACAGGCACCATGATCATAATCCGATGATCAATCAATAAAATGAAATCCCTAGCTCGAAAATGGCAACGCTAACATGCAAACATAGAAATTCGTGGATATACATTACAGAATCACAATACACGGTGCGTCCGAACCTGTGGAGGTGCTAAGAGGCCAGGATGATAGAGAGATTGTTGTTGAAGGAGAGCTTGCTGCATAAGAGCTTGCTGTTGTTGTTGCTTCAACCTCTGATGTTGATGTTGCATTCTTTTTTATGACGAATATAATACTAAGAGATCGATTGAATTGTGTGTCGAATTTGGGGGTTAGGGTTTCAATATACTGAATAAAGATCGAAAGAACAAGCGCCCTCGGGGAAATAAAATGACGGGAAAGAGAGTACCAAAACAAGCAGATAACGTTAACAAAATGACAACAATGGTCCCTTAAGTCTTATAAACCAGAATATTTACCCATCTTTTAATTGTTCCACAAATTTTACAACATTTTGGTTTTGATTGGAATGCCAAATGAGGTTGAGCATGGTGTGGTTTGGTTTTTGACCGAAATTGAACCTAAAATCAAAGATATGGATTTTTTGCTTTCTAATATTAGAATGGTGCAATTTTGACTATGGGTTGGTTTTCGGTTTCTAATTACAAATCAGTATCATTCGGTTTTCGAGTAAGATTTATAAGAGAAGCATCTATGGTTCGAGTTTGTTTTAAGATTGTTATTTAAAATTGAATCAATCAAAGAATATAACCATTGTTTCATTGTTTGGTTGGTTGTTCTAATACTTCAATGAGCCTATTTGACAGGGGAATAACTTTGTAGAGTAATGAACTATCAATATTATATATATTTAGGGGTTATTTGTTTACATCTTAATGTCTATTAATAAGAGGAAGCTTTGAATTGAATTAATTTAATTCATAGTTTTTGTTAGCATCTTATTTTCGGCTTTTAATAACAAAAACACTCTCTTATTCAGTCGGACGTTAAGATGTATTTGAAAAAAAAAAAAAAAAAAAAAAAAAAAAAAAAAAAAAAAAAAGAACGTGTGTCTTATTTTTACCCTTGTCACCATCATCTCTCTTTGCTTGCAGCCATCGAAGAACACCAGCATCCATCATTTCCCCTGCATCTCAGACACTACGATCGTACAACACGTCTCACACCGCCTTTCGTTGCACACCGTCGCTAATCGTCTTCGCTTCCAGATCCGTCAAAACTCGTCAACAACAACCATTTTATGAATCGATTTTGTGAAAATAGTTTTGTGTATGATTATATGAAATCACCTGCACTATCAAAATCGATTTTATGAACCCTCTCCCCGAAATCCCAAATATCTTCTTTCCTACTGTATACTCTCATTTAAAAAGTTTTTTATCCATCAATTTATCTTCCTTTATACTTATAAATCATATGTTCCTGAATATAGTTATTGAATAAAGATGCCTGATTTCTGTGTTATTTACCTTATGTTTTATTCAAATGTGAAATATGTAGTATTTGGGGAACATATTTTTCCTTATTGGCAATTAGATAGCGTTTATAATGTAATTTTTTAGATTGGTAGTGAAATTTAGTTATCTTCTAGATTTGTTTTCACTTTACTATTAGTTATATCAGAAGTTGTTATTTAATCATCAACATATTAGGATCTTGCTTGTGTGTACATCTGTATGGGGGTGGATGTGGTAAGCTTCTACTCACTCTTGAAGATAAAGTACTCACTCTTAAAGATAAAGAGCCTTAAATGGAAACCAACTAAACAGTCATACATAGAATATCAAAAGGCATCTCATATATTGATAGTTATCCCAATCTTTCGAGAGAAAATGACTCTCCAAAACAAAGTTTCTTGACAAATTCTTAGTTATTACTTCTAGAAACCAAAAAGGCTTAAATAGCAAAATAAAGATTCCAGCTTACTAGACCAGAAAATAGAAGGTGGTTTACCACTACCAAAAATTGACAAAATAGGGAAGTGCACTACTGATAATGGTTTTACCCTCATCCCAAACTAAACAAAATGCAAACAAAAGATATTTACATAAAAAGGTGAGTTGGAATGGAACCGGATTACTTGACATTATGAGTGGTATTTATAGTCTTCTTTTTTGTATGTATGCAAGAGTGGGGGTTTATCACGATGTAACATATATTGTTGTTCATGTTAATTGCTAATTCTTCAATGAAATAGGACATCTTGTTCCCATATCATGCTCAACTAGGCGATGTTTTTCATCAAAATTTAAATGGTCTTGCACGTAAATTGCCTCGTGATAGTGTGTTTCTTTTAGGAAATAAGAGAATTTAGTCTTTTGAAGTATATGTTGTTGAATATTGGTTCAATATATTATCCTTTTTAATTCTATACTCTATGATATGCTCTTAACATTAGGTTATTTTGACTTATGCTCTTATTATCATGAATCTTGGTTAGATGTGTTTTTGCTTTGCTATCTTAGATTGAAATCTAAAATTTGGATGTGTTTTTTCTTAAAATATGTTGTTGCTTGAAATCCGATGTGCAATTAGTACAAGTTCTTGAGTTTACTGTATAGATTGATATGGCACATTTATATTCAAAAATTATGTTGTTTCTTTTATCTACTTTTTCTTTTTGTATGTGGTAGGTGCATTTACGCATCTATTCCGAGGTGATTTTGGCAACATGCTTTACACCGGCGATTTCAAATGCTTTACACTATTAAATTTGAATTAGTATGCTTTAGATTTTGTAGGATTATATTTGGGTTTTAGTATGATTTCCTGGATTTGAAAATATTTATGTTTGATTGGATTTTGTATGGTGTTTATATATATATATATATATATATATATATATATATATATATATATATATATATATATATATATATTCAAAGATTTAGTTTTGTTATTTTTTAAATCAAAAATATTGAATTCAACAAAAGATAATACATAAGGGTAAAATGGTCATTTTTATCATTCAACCCAACAATTCAAAGGTTCCAAACAAACATGTTAAAATTTAGACCTTCTTAAAAGTACAGACATCTTAAAAATTCAGATCCTGCCAAACAACCCTATAGTCCCTTGTTTGTTTGTATACAATTTGTCACACCAACCATTTTTACTAGGTATTGCACGTTAATGCTTCTTTGTGTACATTATTTACTATTAAATGATGTATCGCTCATCTTGTTGGTGATTTTAGTGTCACCATGTTATTTTTGGTAACTTGAATTAACATGTGAGCTAATGGGCTTCATAATTTGTATTTTAATATATGTCCGGGTTTGTGGGGAGTGCACACATGTATAAGGTCAAATTAGAATTTGGTTCGACAACAAGTTGAGGGTCCGGGGGCAGCACCCCTGGGTCCGGGGTTTCTAAAGGGGCAACACCCCTAGTGGGGTCCAAGGGGCAGAGCCCCAAAACCTCTCCGAATTTTACATGTGAGAACTTAGTGGGAAATTAGGATTTTTAAGGGTGATTATGGTAAAACTAATGAAACTCGTTAGTTTTGGCAACCCTAAATCCTCATTCAAATCCGGATTACCCTGACTTGCTTCCAAAGCAACTCATGATGGCCCAACCCTAATGAAATCCTAATCTCGTTTATTATATAAACGGTTCTTCCTTCTGAGAAGAAACACACGAAATTCAGCTCTCATTTTCTTCAAACTTTCACATAATCATTCTAGCAATTTGCTTATGATTTTTGTGCCTAGTATCGTAAGTGTCCACTTGGATTATCCTAGGTTGAATTTCTTCCAACCCAGACACAGGGTAAAAATATCAGTTCGGAAAGTGTTCTCATGATCCAAGTTCGTATCCAGATCTCCACCACAAACCCTAAATTTCTAACACATTTTTAGGTACCGTTTAGCTGAAGAACTGGGTAGAATAGAACTGGATTGGACTGGACTAAACAGGACAGGACTGGACAAGACAAATAATCTTTATAGTGTTTGGCAAGACTGGACAGAACTGAACAAGTTGTCTGAAACTATTTGGTAACAATAGAAATAGACAAAACAAGATGTAAAAATGACCATACTACCCTTATGCAAAAAATATTCATAATAACTCTATTTAATATACACAACTTCAAAATAAACATTTTTAGTAAAAAATTATTTAAAATTCTCATTAAAACAAGCTCTAATACCAAATAATCAAATTTACTTCAAAATTAACAAAGTTCTAAACCAAAATGGTTTCCAAAATCCTTATTTTTAAATATAATTAAAAAAAAAAAAAAAAAAAAAAAAAAAAAAAAAAAACAACTTCAATTGTCATCTTCTAATATAGTCTTCACAAAAGGTGGTTTGGTAGTTGCGTCCAAGCTATTCCATATCGGTAACAAATTCAGGTTTTTTGTAAACTTCAAACAAACTCGCATGATTTCTGAAAAAGACAACTCCATGGTCTTCAAATCTTCATGTATAGTTTTTAACTTTGTGAGGTCATTCGTTGAAGACGTAATAGCCCTAGTCATTTTCTAGATTTCCTCGGATACGGTAGCTAACCCCATTTGAATTACATGTGTTACTTCTTCAGATGCCATTTTTCTTTTTCTATTTTGCATCGAGTCTTTGGGATTTGGATTGGAGGAAGTTGCAGTGTTTTGAGGATTAGAATTAAACGATGGAAAATTTTATACTTCTTAATTATCAACGTTTTGATTTTTTGTCACAACAATTGCTGATTCAACCATACCGCCTGTAGCTTGATCTTAACCAAAAACATTTGCTAGTCGCTCATATTCAAGGAATGGTTTGTTTGCGACATAGTTTTTGTTTGGATGTTTCTAGTAAAACAAACAAAGTTACATGTGAAACCATATATATAATACTTAAATATGCATATATATATATATATATATATATATATATATATATATATATATATATATATATATATAATCACTAACCTTTAGATATCCCTTTACTATCTTAGCAGAATCTACTACTACACATTTAAGAGCATCATCCCAACCAATCCCACTTGTGTTTTACGTATCATATGTAGCAAAAAAAAATATCTTTTAATGTTTGATTTTGTTTTGCACATGCTTTGCTGTTATATTAAAACCAACAACTTTTTCCCACAACTTTAGAACGGCTTGATCATAGGTTTTAGACCTAAAGCTTCCATTATCACCTCTGTCACCGATGACAACAATGTCTTGAAGGATGGTAATCAATGCATCATCATCTTCTTGTGTATCAACCCGACTCCCAGGTATAGTATTTATATAATTTTT